AGACAAAAGTTTATCCAATCTGAAAAGACGGGAGAGTACTTTAGTATCATGTTTTATGATCATCTTAATGATTATGTAAACCCTATCACAATTGATCCTGTAAGGTCATCTTAGTGCATTTTTACGAATAAGAAGAGAAATTGTGAATTGTTGGAATGGTTAAATCAGAAAGGTGAATCATACTTCGTTCCAAATCAAGTCTTAGAGTTAAACTCCAAGATTGAGCCTTGATTGACATAATCTTAAGAAAGGTTTATAACACTTATCAAATGTAGAGCAAAATGTTTTCTACTCTTGTACATTTGAAATTGGTAAGTTATGACGTCTTGGATAGGACAAAGACCAACTAAGACCAATTGTGTGATGTGTTTATCTTAATAAGGATCCGCACTAACTCTTGAATATTTGTTTGTCGAGGAATGGTTCTTGACAGAGAATCTTATATGTCAAGAGGTCGGTAGGAGTATTAAAGATCTTGACAAGTTTGAAGAACTAATCAAGAATAAACCTATTGTTAAACACTAGCACACGACTTGAGGTTTGTAACCTATCATGTTGACATATTGTTGTTTCTGTGTCATTCCAGTAGGTTGAGTATGTATGTGAGTTATATGAGTTCGCAGTTGTTTGCATAACAACTTCGAGGCGATGGCAGCCCATATGCTGCCAGACGGCAAGAAATTAAGATTGAACAAGTTCAGTTCATATAAGTTTGGATTTGTCACTAACCATGTCTTGTGATTATGGTTATGACGAACTCACATGGATAGGATCACATACACCATAAAATCTAAGTTATGACAACCCGATATTTCGAGGCAATAAAATGTAACACCAGTCAAATATAGGTAAAAATTTAACTTTCCTAAAATCTTATTTGGGTTAAATAAAGTGGTAGGAATCGTATCAAGGTTTTCGTGCATATAAAGAACACTAAAATCCGATTTATAACGAAGAAGTTATGACAAATCTAAGATTCGCAGCGAAAATCGGCAACACTGATAGACGTAAAACGCGAAGTTTCAATACAATAATTTTTAGCCTTAGGTATCTAAATGAAAGTTTTAGATATCATTAAACCATAAACGTACATAAAAAGAACGTCCGAATCTGACTTCGTATGAGGAAGTTACGATTTTTCGAAGTTTCAGACATAGCAGTAGACAGTTAAAAACTCGAAATCGAGATCGAGCAGATTTTGGCCAACATGACCTAAACGAGAATTGAAGATCTCATAAATGGTATTACAACGGTAAAAAGTATGGCGAAAACAGACAGCGGACAAAGGAGTTATGAAATTTTAACGGATTTTTCCTGTCCCGAACTATTAAAAATATAATATTAAAAACAAACTCAAAACTAGCCGACAGAGTCTAAACGAAAGTTGTAGATCGTAGTCTCACCTACGCGTTGATATAAAGAACGTCGAAAAAGGAGTTCGTATGAAGAAGATATGAATTTTTGAAATTTATTAATAATTAAAGTATTTAATTTAATTAAAATCTGGTATTATCCGAAGGAGGAGTCATCGGACCAATCTACGTTACGCCCAACGTACTCGGATGCTAGGCTCCGGTTCGTCCGCGTCGCTCCGATGCTTCGACCGAGGATGCGGTCATCCATGACGTCGCGTACGCCTCGTGTAGAAGCATACGCCCAGCGTACGTGAGGCTTTCAGCCTCTATAAGAAGGATGCGAGGGTGCCGACCATATTTGCTAATTTCCCTCCTTCTCGCGCCGAAGCTCTGTGTTTTAACCATCGGTGCCACCCCAAAGTCCCGGTTTACATATCAAAGCTTGGAAGGAAGTTTTACGCCCCCGAGATTCCCGAGAATCTCGAGAGATTCGCTCTCTCGAGTAGAAGTTCTGCTCGGTTTTCGTCGCGCTTTCTTCAATCAATCATGTGAGTTCATACCCCTATAATTCACACTTTTAAATGTTTTATGAGTACTTTTATATGCTTTTAAGGGGGGAATACAAGTAAAACACTAGATTATTATTGTGTGTTATATAAACTTTCACTATACGCGTTTTATCAAAGGAATCATACGTGATTTATAACTATTATAGGGAAACTTTCATATGCAAATTATACCACGGAAACATTTTATCTTTTGAAAGGAGAAATTATTTATGTATTTATACAAATCAGACACTTTGCTTATACTATATTTACGTGTGTCGGTTTTGGCACTACAAAAACTAAACTTTTCATAACAAGCGAGCATTTCACCTAGGGATTTCTATACAAACGAGACACACTTTTAGAAAACTATAATAGGTATAGTTTTACGAGAACATCACGAACTTTTACATACTAGAAATAGTATTTCAAGGAGATACATTCATATACAAGAACAAACGAACATTTTCATATGTACTTCAAATAGTTTGCACAAACGTTTTTACATGTTAAAACACTTTTAGAAACTGTCTTACAAACTGTATGTTTCTTTTTTTTTTGAATCTGTTATAGTTGTGCATCAAACAAAGGTTTTCTTACACTTAAACTATCTTGTCAACTGTTTTCGAATCGTTTTATAAACTGACATCAAGTCACAAATTCTTTATTAGACTTTTCAACGGTTTTACAAAACTTCTTTTATGTTTTTATATTATAAATTGCATGCCTCTATATGTATAGTTATATAATAAATGTTTAAAAGACTTAGGAAGGCTATCCACCCTGTTTCCTTTTCCTCGATTTGGATGTGGTCTGGTGGGATATCGGGTACCCGTCCAAAGGTCGTTTAAATATTAGTTATATATCATGTGTACATATATAGTCATAAATGTTCCATCAGTTAATTCTGTTCTGACGCTCTTGGGTAGCAAGGTTGTATAAACGTACTTGGACACTCATCAATTACATTCTAGTAAACTATTATAGGAATAGTTTAGGGGATACAAAACATTATCCCTATTACAAGAAATTACACCAGAGTCAGTTCATTCATGAGTCTAGACTACATGCTATATGAAGGGATACTCTTACAGAGATTCCTCTTACATGAATACTTATACATGAATACTCTTACATAGACACGCTTACATGAGTACGTTTACATGAATACTTTTACATGAATACTTTTACATGAACACTCTTACATAGATACGCTTACATGAGTACGTTTACATGAATACTTTTACATGAATACTTACACATGAATACTTTTACATATATATTATATGGCAAATTACTATTACATATTATATGTTTAGATACTGTTATATAGTTCTCCTTTCTATATTTACCTTGTGATACAATCACATCATCGACGAGATAAATTGGACTTTATATTATAGTACCAAAGGATACTTTACGGGATTAACCATTCCTAGAATCTCTGTTAGCTACAGAGATAATGCACATCCACGGATGTCTTCGGTTGATACCATTACATGTATACTTTAAGGGACTAACTATTCCTACACCCAGCTGTTAGCAAAAGAGGCAAATGTACATCTACGAATGTCTAAAGTTAACACTGATAGTTATCCTAGTATAAAGGGATAATACGTAAGTTAGTTATATTATTACCATTATCTTGTGACTCATCCACATAACCAATGAGGTGAATCGTATTTGAGTACCCTAGTACCAAAGGATACAATTTCTTATATTAATAATAATTGTCGAACAGTTGGGTCTTGGTAGAAGACTACTTTCAAAACAGTCGGGTCTTGGTAGAAGACTACTTTCAAAACAACTAGGTCTTGGTAGAAGATTTCATCTATACTAATAGGAATCATAGGGATTTCTAGGGTTTACCAAACGGTTTCGATTACTTACAAACATTTCCACACTTATACGAACTTTCTTTCATAACAATATCAAGTCTTTCATTACAAGTTTTAAAAATCAAAAACACATTAATACTTATGAATTCACCAGCTTTTTGGCTGATACTCGCTTTCAAAATAACTTGTATTCTCAGGTCGCAAATAGACAGGTACGACGATCAGGTTTTTGGTGAAGACGGAGCAGTCCAAACTCGTCTTATTTTCTAATCATTCATTTTATTGTTGTATATTATGAAAGAAAACACTTGTAATTCAAATTATACTACTAATGAAATGGATGATGTTGTTTCTTGTTTACTACTTTACATTGTTGTGATACATTACATGACGTCCTCCGCCCCAGAACGTTTCCGCCGTTCTGGGTTTTGGGGTGTGACATATGTGTCATAAGGTTTCTCTCCAATTCATAAAAATGATTGTGAGGAAACGCTTTCACTAAGTAGATTTTAAGGAGATAGAATTGTGATATTTGCATTCTCCAATTCAATTATGATTACGACATCCCTTTTCATAATTTGAATTGTGAGAAATGGAAAAGGGTCTAAACATTTGAGACTTATTCACTACTAGAAAAACAGTTTTTTACGACGCTCATTGCGCGCCGTAAAAGGCTCAGACGACGCGCAAATGCGCGTCAAGGAAGGCCCTGTCATAAAGAGAGACGACGTGCATTTATGACGCTCATTTATGACGTGCAATTACGACACGTGTTTACGACACGCAATGCGTATCAAGGAAGGCCCTGTCATAAAGGAAGACGACACGCATTCACGTGTCGTAACCTTACGACGCGCGTGTTAATGACACACAATGCGTATTAAGAAAGCCCCTGTCAAGAAAGGCCATGTTATAAATGAAGATGACACACATTTTTACGTATCGTAAATTTGAATGTTTAAAAAAAATAAATTTATATATTTATTAATTTTTAAATTAAATTTGCATTTAATTTCTTATAATAGAAATAAAATACAATATACAAAAAATACAATCCATTGCATAATACAAAATAAAATTTCATACTCAAAAAATAATATAAATTGCACAAATTATAATGTCATACAAAGAATCATTCAAATGTTAAACAAAAATAATATATTGCTAACATGTGTTATACATTCCTATAAAACTAACAAATAATCATAGAAATCTGTTTCTTACTAGAAAGGAATGCCAAACATGATTACAAGTCTCCCTTAATCTTGATTACTCACCTGCTTAAGTAGAATGTTGTTGTTGAAAAGGTTACCTAGCAACAGAGAAAAACACAACACCTCTCCCACAATCACAACATCATTTACAGAAAAGGGTTGTCAATTCGAGTATTTTTTTTACCAAATTTTCGTCCTTCTTCCCTCATATCCTCTAATATTTCTTCATATTCTCCATCATCCATCAATTTATCAGCATTGATCACCTTCATTGCACCAAAAAAACCATGCTTGCTTTTACCAAAATTATTCAAAAATATCATATTTTCTCAAAATGAGGTTTTCCACATTAACCAACTCCTAACATTTTCTTAAAAATATTATTTAAACATCATTTACATTTTTTCTTTTTAAAAAAGAAAAAACATAAGGTACCTCAGTTAAACACAAAACTTTAGTTGGAATCTCATTAGGTAATCTAGGTAATCCGGGAAGATTAAACCCTCCAACTTGTAAGGGCATTTTCGACAAATAAAAACATGAAGTTTCAAAGCATTGAAAGTACATAAATAATAATAATAATAATAATAATAATAATAATAATAATAATAATAATTAATAATAATAATAAACTCTGTAGTACCTGCATAGCTATATGTTGTTAAGCCTGGGCCATAATGGTCTCCTGTTCAGATTTCATCTGCCCGCTGCAGTAAAATAAAGAGCACCAAAAACATCAGATTTATCATAAACTTGTTCATAATAATAAAGCCCACATGGATTGAGAAAAAGTTAAATTAATAATAATAATAATAATAATAATAATAATAATAATGATAATAATGATAATAATAATAATAATAATAATAATAATAATAATAATAATAATAAAGGATATTTTAAATAAAAACATGATGGTTGCACATCTAACTGTGAGTGTTTTATCCCCCATTTTTAAGCCATTAAGTGCAGCACAAGCAACGTTTGTAGCTGATTGATCCTGAAAATTACTCCCAAATATTTTATATTTATTGGAAGAAAGAATAACTGACAATAACGCCATTTTTTAACTTAACTTAGGACAAGGCGCAAAAATGTTTAAAAACTGAGAATATTTACAGATTCATATTGTTTAATTTAAAGAAAAAAAGGGTGATAATTACCTCATAGACACATAAACCATATCCTTTAGAGTTTTCAGTATCTCTATCCTTCACAAGATCAAACCCACGCAGCGGTCTGAATCAATAAAATTCCTTAAACTTTCATTTTGTAGAGATATTAAAAAAAAATCATAAAATTATAAAACTACATACCCAAAGGATTCTAGCAACTCTCTTATCTGTACCTCAGTAAAGTGATACGGTAAACCCCCAACAAATATACGATTAGGTCCTTCAGCTCCACCAATACCACTAATTACACCAAAAAAATCAGATTCACAATAACAAAGAGGGGCAAAAACATCTTTTTGACTCTCATTTACCCAGGGGTAAGCCCAGCAGCAGCTAAATTAAGGTTTGGATTTGTTTGACTGGGGCACCACCACGATAACCACCACCACCACCAGGTCCACGGTTCCATTACCAAAGACTACCTAGAAAAGATTCCAGAAAAATTAATAATGAAGAAACTATAGGAAGACTGAAGATAATATTATTGAAAGTGATTATGTAAAGTGTGAACAAAGGGGAAGAAGATTCTCTATTGTAACTTGTTTCTTGGAGGAGATTCTCTGTTGCTAACTTGTCTTTTTTAGACTCTCCACCTTGTTCTCTTAAACCAAAATAAAGACTTCAATGAGGATTCACACAACATCCATTGATAGCAGCAAATCAGGAAGCACAATGGTCCAATCCCATTCAAGTTTCTTTGGACCTATCAGCAAGATAAGAACACAAAATTCTTGTCATGATGGAAAGATTAAAAGCTAGTAAGATTTAAAATGAAAATGATTATAAAAATAAAAGAAAATTTAAACCAGCAGCCAATTAAAAGATGCATGGACCATTGTATTTGGCAGTAAGTAAGCAGCAACTGATAACCACAACATCAAACTTTTCAAAGAATTCAAACAGATATGAAATAATTTGGTCCAGGAACGTATACTTGAGGCAATCGGAGCAATGATTGCCTCTCAACAAGTCTTAATCAATAAGAAGCCAACAAGGTGTTAATCGGGCTTATAACAATGACATCATCAGATGTGCAACAATATCTGATAACCTCTCTGATAAGTTTATGTTGTGATGTAGTGGACATCTGGGAAGCCATCAGAAAGAGAGAGGGAATCCAGTTACTTATATCTTCTCTGCTGCTGGTGGTATTCCGCCACTTGTTTATAAGATGTAGATAGATAATGGAAGTAGATGCAACTAGTACTAAATAAGGTACAATAATAAGTAAACATTCTAGTTTCCAATAACAGGATTCTTGGTGTCCCTCACATCACACAACAATTGCAGCATCTCATGCTCAAGAACAAACAACCAACTGCAGTTGCAATAAATCCTCAAAAACGTATAAAGAAAAATAATAATAATAAGCACCCATCCCATATTCCCATGGACATGAAGGTTAATTGTTTAAAGGAGATTATGAAATTAGTGTAGCATCCGAATTCCCATCCATTGGCATTTGACAAACAATTTCCTTCACCTTTTGGCTATAATCGCTTTGCTGGGCAGCGAGTACCAGCAACAAAGCCTTTTGTGTAGGCTGTATTTTTAAACATCGTCTAAAACACTAAAGTCCAAACCAAATAATAAATACCAAACATAATTTGATTTTATAGCATCATCCTACACTACACACTATTACAGTTACAACATTGTACCAAATTATATGTCCAAATACAAAATATTGGGTGTAAGATGCCTAGATGATTGATTGTACAAAAATAACTTGCAGTACAGCATAACTCATAACAAGGTGGATCACTCTTTCATGTATAACTATAAGTATAACTATATATGGGTGTTGAAACTAGGCTTTCCCTCCTCCTTTTACAAATTTTTATGTTTTTTTCTTCCATTTCTCAAAACATAATTTATATGGGTTATAAAGAGAATGAACAAAGAAAGGAACATACATTGTCCTATGGATAATACACAAGGATATCAAGTCTATGTAGCAACAGATAGCAGATTAATTTCACTCAAGTTTTGACACATGCTGATTGATGTCTGGGGAAGAAAAAACACTTGCTAAGTTGCTATGAATGAACACTTATCGCATTAATGAGAATGCTACACTTATTAATTACAGATATTCAACCACATGGACAGTTGAAATCAATGGCCAAGATTGAGTCTCTACACATATTCTATTAAACATCTAGAAAAGAATCAATGGGACAGTACTTGCAACTTGTTGTGTGCAAAAAAGACATGAATGCCCCAACCTCATCATCAATAATGTCAATAGATATATAGGTGATTGCGAGCTAAACGCGTTAATAATGTGATAGTAATTCATAATGAACAACAAATACTTCAATTTGAGAAACGTATATTAGTATTGGAAACTAGAAACTGGATCTGATAAAGCGTGGGAGGATGCACCTTATGTTCTATGGAAATTATGTTGTCACAGTGAAGATATCTATGCATGTGTTGAAAGTGCTGAAGCAATTCCTGTTTTCCTATGGTTCTTGAAAACTGGTGGAACAAAGGGACAAGAAGCCTCAGGGAAGGCACTAAGAAAGCTTATACGCATGGCAGATGCTGCCACTATTAATTAGCTACTAGCTCTGCTTTGGGGGGACACCGCAAAATCAAAAGCCCACAAAATTGAAGTACTAGGTCATGTGTTTACCATGGCATCACATTATGACCTTGTTCAAAAAGGATCAGATGCTTATAAAGGGTTGAGATCGCTTGTTCAGATTCTTAATTCTTCAAATGAGGAAACACAGGAACATGTAGCTTCTGTCTTGGCTGATCTCTTCAGCATTCGTCAAGATATATGTGATAGTCTTGCAACTGATGAGGTTGTGCATCCTTGATGAAGCTTTTAACAAGCAACACTCAAATTATTGCCACTCAATCAGCTCGGGCCTTGGGTGCTTTGTCCAAGAACAAAATCTCTTATATTGTAGAAGGGGATGTGAAGCCTCTGATCAAATTAGCCAAAACATCATCTTCCATTGATGTTGCAGAGACTGCTGTATTTGCATTAGCCAAAGTGAAGCGACTCCTCCTGCCAACTAAGCTTTCCGGTAGTACCAATGATGGCAAGAAAATTGCCAAAACCGATGATTTCACCTAATCAAACATATTGTGTGTTTCTTTTTCATCCCCTTTCCCGTTTCCATGTGTCTTTGTTCCTAGTTAACCCTAGTCGATTATTTCACCTAATCACACATCATCAATTGTTAGTTTCACCAAATATTAGAAGTTTGTTCCTTCGATCGTAAATGAAATAGAGAGAAATTAAGCCGGAAAGAAAAAGAGATTTAGCAAAGCTAGGGTTCTTATAGAAGAACGAAAACATTGAGAAGTTAGAATCAAGAAAAACATACCTTAATAAGACATAGGGCTTGTAAATTTGAGCAATAGAAGCAATTACCCTAAGGTCACCAGACCTAATGTTGTTGGCAAGGTCAGGCAAGGTGAGATTGCTGGAGATGAGGGGCTCCATTGGCTAGGTGACGCTGGAAAGCATTGGACGGTGGGGCGGGGCTAGACGGAGGTCAGAGGTGGGAGGCGCCAACACCAAGAGAAACGTCGAAGGTGGGAGAAGCTGTCGACGTCGAGAATTGAGAAGAAGAGAAAGGGTTTGTCGAAGTGAGAAGGAGAGAAAGGGAAGTTGAAGAGAGAACGAGCAGTACAGGAGGGCATAATCGGGGCAAGTTCTTGAAAAAAAGCCGTAGCTACTAGGGAAATTAAAGTGGAGGGAGAAAAAAAAGGAAGGCGGGGATTTTAAGTTTTTGTGATTTCATTTTCCCTGGATGGAACGCGCGCGTTCTATTAAAATTTATAAAGCGACGGTCGTAGACGACACGCAGGTGCCCTCCGTGTTTTTTTTTTTTTTTTTTTTTTTTTTTTTTTTTTTTTGTTTAGACACTAATTTTAGGGCACTCAAAAATGCGCATCTGAAATCCTTTAAATTTTGGAAGAGATGACATTATTTTTTAGACACTCACCTTTGCGTATCATAAATCACTGCGTGTCATGTTTCGCCTGTCGAAAAGGCTATTTTTCTAGTAGTGATTGCTGTAAGTTCTAAGATTGTTAAGACACAAATGTGAGCCGTCTAAGGAAAGGTGTACGATTTTGAGAAGCCAAAATAAAGTCTTATCGAAGCATCACATATCAAGAATCTGAACTTTGGTAATGAAAGTCAATAAGTATTGATTTGTAGAAGTCCAACAGATTTTTGGGTACGTGTCAAAGCTAGTGGGAGCATAAGTGTTATGCTAGTCACATAATAATTATTATGCTAGTGGGAGCATAATTATTATGGAAAGTGTTGCAAGTTAGCAATTATATTATAGAAAAACAAAAGATTTCAAATCGCAAAGTTGCAGGGTTTGAAAAGTTGTTTTGCTATAATTAAGGGAGAGGAAATTATACTTCATTTTAAAATCTAAAAGCTTAGATTGAGTTTTTAATCAAATTTAGTTAAATATATATGAATGTTATGTTGGAATGGTTCAACATAAGGAAATTATATATATGGAACTGTTAATTGTGTTCTCAAAATTTGATTATGATTATGGCATCGCTCTTCATAATTCGAATTACGAGAACATGGCAAATAGAAATATTGTAGCAAAAGACTGGTCAAGTATCATGTCTTTATGAACTATGTCCAATATGCTTCGAGTATAGTATCGATACATGTGCTATAATATTTATCCGTTCTAAATTTTCCAAATGCCTAGGGTATTAAGAGGGAAAAATGACTAGAACCGGATATGACTAAAGTGGTTAACAACTGTTAAGGACAATCTAAGATTCACTAATGATTGGTCGCTTGTAGTTGGAAGTATAAAAATGGATGGACCATATTGACATATTCTGAAAGGGGAAACTCTTGTTCAGAAGTGATAGTCCTAACTATTGGTGCAAAGTTCTTAAAGGCCAAACACAACAAGTTCTACAAGCTACATAAAGAGGTAAACTCCTAACTAGTATTTTATGTTGTTTATGACATTTATATGCTAGGTGTAGGCTTAAAGCTTTGGACACAATTTTGCATGTATAATTAGAGAAAACATAGATCCAAAGCGTTTTGGGTTGTATGTGTACTATAGGATGTTGTAGCATCGCAAATCCCAACACACTTGAGCCTCTTTGATCAAATCCATCAAAGGTGAGGTGACTATCATCGATAATCAAGTATCTCGATTAGGCGAGCCTATCGCTTTGCGGCTCAGGGCATCGACCACCACATTAGCCTTTTTGGGGTGGTACAAAATCTCACAATCATAATCTTTTACCGCAACCAACCACCTTCAATGACGCATATTCAAGTTTGGCTGATCCATCTAATACTTCAAACTCTTATGATCGGTGTAGATAGTACACCGTACTCCATACAAATAGAGCCTCCAGATATTAAGGGCAAACACCACAACCCCCAGTTCCAAATATTGTATGGGGTAGTTTGCCTCATGAGGCTTCAACTTCCTTCAGGTGTAATCAATCGCATGACCTCTATACATAAGAACAACCCCCAATCCGAAAATAGAAGCGTTGCAGTAAACCATAAAATCCTCCAATCCCTCGGGTAGCATGAGAATTGGTGCCTCGTACAACCTTTGCTTCAGTGTCTGGAAGGCCAATTGCTGAGCTGAACCTAGTCGAAAGGTCACATTCTTCCGGGTCAGATGGGTCAGAGGCACCACAATCTTGGAGAAATCCTGAATATATCTCCGATAATACCCTGAAAGACCCAAAAAACGTCGAATCTCTGATGCATTTTTCGGAACTTCCTAATGCATCATAGCCTCGATCTTGGCCGGGTCGAGCAAGATTCCTTCCTGGTTGATGTTGTGCCCCAAAAACCGCACTTATGCAACCAAAACTCGCATTTGGAGAATTTGGCATAAAGCCTCTCCCTCCTCAAAGTCTCCAACACCTTTAATACTGTTGCTCGGGCTGCTCCTTGTTCTTTGAGTAGACTAGAATATCATTAATGAAAACAATCACCGACCGATCCAACATCAGACTGCAGACCCATTTCATTAGGTCTATGAATGCTGATGGGGCATTGGTGAGCCCGAAAGGCATCACCACAAACTTGTAATTACCCTAACGAGTTGTAAAGGTTGTCTTCTGTATATCCTCATCTCTGAGCCTCATCTGATGGTATCTTGACCGAAGATCAATCTTAGAAAAGCAAGATGCACCCTAAATTAGATCAAATAGGTCGTCAATCCTTCTGTTATCGATATTCGATACGTATCCAATGCGACCTATCCTTTTTTCCATAAACAGAATCGGTGCACCCCACAGAGAGTTTCTCAGATGGATAAAACCCTTGTCTAGCAGCTCTTGCAGCTACGTAGACAACTCCTACATCTCATGCGATATTGGGCAATATGGGGCCTTCCGTATCAGATTCGAACCAGACACCAAATCAATATGAAACTCCCTCACCAGCGGTTGCACAACAATGGCTATTGCAAAACTCGTTCGTTGAGAATTCTCCATGACATCGGTCCAACGTCGGCTGGCTATGGGGTCTTTAACCCCAAATAACTCAGGCACCCTACACACCTTGAACTATTGGAAAGAGGGATCTCATGGCCCAAACTGACTCTCGATAATCTCAGCTCGAAATGACTTGAGCCGCTCCTCCATGATCTCCATAATCCCCTCCTTGACGGTATCAAAGATCACTAGGGTAGCATCAAGGATGCTGTGAGTAACCTCGACTGCGATAAGCTCATGCATCCGCTCTTCAATCGGTTCAATGCCTGAACCTAAATCCGAAATAGAGCCCGAAACTGAACCTGAACCTCCGCGAGTAGTCATCACCATCCTCAAAATGAAAATACAACATAAAATCAATAAATCAAACAGATTCGAGGGGACTCCTTGACACCAGCCTCCTTAGAGATTCCAAGCCAACCCTTGTCTCAGGTACATGTCCTATGTTTCTAGTAGTACGGGTCCAATACTACATTCTACATATACATGTACGATCCCCAAGTCGAATTTGATTCCCGCAAGTTACCCCACTATAACTTAACAACCTATGCTACACAACATACACGATATAGACTCTTATAAAAAAGTTCTCAAATTCTACACTAGCAATACACAGTACATGAATAAAAAATGATGGTTACCCTATACATGCAGGTTATACACAAAATATGATCACATAGACTATCAAATCAGGATTCTACCCTAAATCCACAACCAAATAAGGAACAAGAAATAAGGTCAAACCGATCATTATAGGGCTATCCAATCCTAATCATATACTACTTTAAAGTCATATACATAGCAAATAACTGAGCCGATATCAATTCCAATTAATACATACATCAATCTACAAAGCTATAAGGCATCACACAACTTAGGAAATTCTATCATATGATTCCTGAAGATATCCTTAACCCTAGTCTATCATGCAGTTGACATATCAAGCACACTAATCATAAGAAATAAGTATGGTGACTTTATGAAACAGTTACTTAAGCTCAACTAATTACATGCATTGCACTCCCCTCTTTATTTAAAGAATATTTTTCAAAATTTTTAGTTCTTTTTATTCTGAAAATATTATCATTTCCTCAGTTTGAGCTCTTACACACTCGAAAGTGTGCCCGAATCTGTCAAACCAACACTCCGATACCAACTTGTAACCTCCCAAAATTAAATATCAAAAATTTCATTATTAAATAAACACAAGGGTTACAATAGTCACATTGTTCCAAAACCATTTAATAATAATAATGTCAAATCATCAAAGAAAAATGCCATAACGTTGAAAACTGGTGTGGAGTGAAAGTTGCACAATCATGCCGAGCCCTTCCCCTTGGTACTGGAAGTACCTGAAACCACAATATAAACTGTAAGAAAAAGCTTAGTAAGTTTCCCATTCGTACCACATACTAAAGAGTAAACATGCATGTTCCATTGACTACCCCATGGTCTTTACTCACAATGTCGAGGGCTTACATATGAGTACCATGGGCTACCCCCATGGTTTTCCTTGCGAAGCCGAGGACCAAAACCATGTATTACACTCAAGGGAAATGGGCTACCCCCACGATCTTCCATATAATTACCAAAAATCATCAAAACTCC